ACCCTCCTCAGGTTGGTAAAGAACCTGTTTGAGCTGGCTCGTCAGCACAAGCCGTCCATCATCTTCATCGACGAGGTGGACTCGCTCTGTGGCTCGAGGAACGAGAACGAGAGCGAGGCGGCACGACGGATCAAGACCGAGTTCTTGGTGCAGATGCAGGGTGAGAAGCCCAAAGGGCCTCAGGCTGCCTACTGTGTGAAGGCAGCGCCGCCCTGGTGTGCCGTAGATGAATAGCTGGCTGCATCGCTGGTATGATTCGGTACCAGTAGGAGGCGCATTGAGTGGAGCAAACTATTTTAATTTGAAAAATTTCATACAGTCAATTTTGTCATATAGTCATTTTGTCAGCCTTTTTAAATAATAATAAAAAAATCAAAGTTAAGATTTCAACATTTCAATGAAAAAATATCGGTCGGTTTCACTCTGTTTACTCATAGAAGCCTACAAACCCACCCCACCCACACTAAACTAGGTACCAGAACAAAGCTTGATATCAAACAGGTCCCCATTCGTCAGGTCATAGTCATAGTTCAAAAACCATTAAAGATAATGACTTGTATTTTTGTCATTATTTGGTATCTAAATAAAACATTTTGACATTCTGATTAATTCTGTCCTGGGCAAAATTTCAATTTTTACCTGCCATTACTGATTCTGACCCTTCAACAGCTGGTGCTTTGAGTCGTGGGTCTCTGTTTGACAGGTGTCGGCAACAACAATGATGGGATCTTGGTTCTCGGGGCAACCAACATTCCCTGGGTCCTAGATGCCGCCATTCGCAGGAGGTCAGAGCTCATTTTGTTCTTCCACGATTAACCTTCATTTGGAGAATTCAGTAATATAATCAAACCCTATTCTTCGGGATAGTTTGGAGAAGTTCAGACAAATGATTACTGCATAATAATTTGTTAAAAACTTAGCATGTCAGTTTGTAACTTTTGCCCATCTGCTTCAGCAGTATCATTGATTACAGTCGAATTCTCAGTGTCCCCTTCCTGTCTCTGCCAAACGGGCTCAAGGTTCGAGAAGCGGATCTACATTCCCCTGCCGGAGGAGCCGGCCCGAGCGCAGATGTTCCGGCTGCACCTGGGAAACACCCCACACAGCCTGAGCGAGGCTGACCTGCGACAACTGGCGCGCAAAACCGATGGCTACTCGGGTGCAGACATCAGCATCATCGTCCGCGACGCACTCATGCAGCCAGTGAGGAAGGTGCAGTCAGCGACGCATTTCAAAAAGGCAAGAGGCCTCCGTACGGGACGTAAACACACACACACACACGCGTGTGGTGTAACAGTACACACACAGCTGTCAGTATGATACACAGTACTGTCAGAAATGACTCGCCTGTTATATGTTTTGAAATGGTATGCAATTAATTTTCAGTATTAACATTTGTCTGTAACATATCTTCTTATGAAAGATAGATATTATAAAAATATGAACAGATAATTGCCTGCGTGTTATATGGTGGAATAGCTTAATGATAGAGCATACATTTTGATGAGTCTGTTGTAACTGTTTCAAGACTAGATTATTTTCTGTGTTTCCTTTAACTAAAACTTAATCTCCATAATGTGTTTTCCCCCAATCACCAGCATTTTCCCCCCACTATCCAAAAACATGCTCAGGTTAATTGGAATTGCCAAATTGCCCATAGGTGTGCATGTGTGTGTGAATGGTGTGTGTGTGAATGGTGTGTGAGTGTGCCCTGCAATGGGCTGGCACCACATGCTGGGTTGTTCCCTGCCTTGCGCCCGTAGCCGCTGGTATAGGCTCTGGACCCTCCGTGACCCTGAAGAGAACAAGTGGTTTCAGAAAATGGATGGATGGATTTTCAGTCAATGATTTTGCTTTTTTCCAGTTTAAAATATTGCTTTGTCTTAATGATGATCTTCTAATTAGCTCATATTTCATACTTGAGTTCCTCTTTATCATAAACCAATATCCCACCTGATGCATCGCCATACATAGAGAGGATGCAAGCTCATCTCATGGTCACAAGGTCTATCTCCTGGTGTGACCCAGGTTCGAGGACCATCCCGGAGTAACAGTGCCGTGATGGTGGATGACCTCTTGACCCCCTGCTCTCCCGGCGACCCCAACGCCATAGAGATGACCTGGATGGACGTGCCCAGTGACAAGCTGCTTGAGCCTACTGTTTGCATGGTGAGCAGTGTGGGGTTTCAATCACACAGTTACACGCTCCAACAAGGAGTTACAGACATCCAGAGCCATTTATAATTTAGGTATTTTACTGGCGCAGTTCAGGTTAAGTGCCCCTTACCAGAGCTCCTAGAGCATGGCCCTTCATGACACCTGAGAGAATCCAAGTTACCTTCAGGTTGTGAGTTCCTGTCCCTAACTATAACGCCACCTACTGTCCCCCGTCTGCACAGTCGGACATGCTGCGCTCCCTCGCCACGACGCGTCCCACTGTGAACACAGAAGATCTTCTGAAAGTGAAGAAGTTCACAGAGGATTTCGGACAAGAAGGCTGAGTCGGTGAGGTTACGTACCTCCTCCCCACCCCGCCCTGAACTTCAACCTCAACGCCTGTGCCCCACCCCCCCCCCCCCCCCCCAATCTTGGTAACTATCTCGCTACTTATCCGGACTCTACCATCTAGCAGCTACTACGACACTACTAATATGGACGTCCAGTTATACGATGTTATTCTGGAACTGTTCCGACAGCCACGCTGCGCTCAGCTAGGCGCCTGTAGCTAAAAGCCTTGAGGTCATTTTCCTTATTTCTTGAGCTGCGCCGCCACTATTATTTAAAAATTGGCTTTGTGCGCGTGTGCGTGAGGGAGTGTATCCGTCAGCTCCTAGTGGTTTGTCTCCATGCAAGCCAGTACGCATGAACCCTACAGACTGGTCCAGTTTACGCACAGATTGAAGGATTTTTTTCCCTCCATAAGATTATTTATTGCTAATTATTTATTGCTCAAAACTGATAACCCACAAGCATCAGTCAGTGAGGCCGCACTTTTGCCACATGCAGTAACATGTATGTATTTGATTCTTTTCTGCTCGCCGTTACCTGAACAAAATGGAGCTGGCAGTATGATCAAATGTGTGAGATTGTTCTCATGAGTAAAGAGCTGGACCTGTTGGTCCCATTTTAGTACCAAGACAGTGTTTTTGCTAATATTTTAAGAAAAAAAGACCTTCGATCACGGAGGAGTGGAAGCTTGAGAAGCTCTTTCACATAATGTAAGACATTGTAAAAGATGGTAGTTAAAAGTAGAGCCGATTCTTCTGCATCATCATCTTAAGTACAGTTTTGAAGTCCTTTTATCCAGTTGTTATTGCTGTACACAGATTAACAATGGTGTTTACTTGCAATGTCTATTGCTCTGCTATAACTCTTTGTCGTTAAATCCCATTTGGATTGATCTTAATAAACCCAATACATTTGACAACGGCCAGTGAACTACATCTTTGTTTATTTTTTAATTATTTCTGGATTCATCTGTGTGGGCTTTCAGTCACTGCACTGCTTAACTGGGTGCTCAAAGGGACCCAGAAATTTCAGATAAAGTACAGAAGCATCAACACACGAAAAATGCCAAAATCACCGGCCAGTAGTGTTTTTGGTTGCTATTCTGCATGTAGTTACACTCAGGAAGCCTGTGGCATTATGGTCAGTAAGTTTTTTTTTTTGTTTGTTTGTTTTTTTTTTATATGTTCTCTACCTTGCTTCATTTTGTGTTCTTCCATGAAACTCAACATATTTGAGCTCTGGACATGTTTACGCTTTGAAAAAGATCCTGTAAGTGACCATAAAAATGAAGGTGATCCATTGAAAACAAAATGTATGCTATAGTTATCTGCCCCCTCGCCGATATAACAAATTGTTTTTACAATATACAGTGATTTAAGCTGTATTAAAAAATCATATAATGAATGCTGCAAAAACCTAACATCGTGACGATTACCTTCATTTACAAGTGAAATATTTCTGAACCTCTATGACTGCAGCATTGCTTTTCTGGAGGTATGTAAATCTCACACCTGAAATGGAGAGTTATAAAACGAAAGTTCTGCCTGTAGGGTGGGGGATAATAAAATTATACAACACCCAGTTTACTTTAGACTGCATCAAAACTATCAAATGTGCAAACACAAGCATTTTGCATTCCTGCTTTTGTGATCCCAGAGGACATCTTGTTTCTCCCATGTTGCACTACAGATGTAGAAGTGGTTATGGAAGTCACTGTGGGATTCTGAAGTTCTGGAGCAGCAGCAGCTCCAGTCGGGTGGTGCTAAAACACTTTGCATTAGGTCTTGCTGCATTAATGGTGCTTGGCTGCTGTGCACCTCATGGCGAGGGGGGGTGGACATGTCGCTGGAATGCGTCTGCTCCCCTGCTGCATATGATGGGCTTCAGTGTCTCATTACAAGAATGACATGCAGGGCGTGAACTGTTCATGGACTTCAGCAGCATCACAGTAAGTCATAAACTACGTTCATGAATGACATGCATCCATCCTTCCCTTTCTCCCAGTCTGGGTTACCATGGTGATGATATTTGGTCAAATCAAAAACATCATGCAGCAAAACGGCTTCTTTTGGGGTGCAAAACAAGAATAACGGCTCAAGCAGATATTTTCAGCAATTGACTATATGGGACTGATGCTTTCTCGCCAGCTATAAAGGATAAGTCTTTAAAATAAGCTTTTTGGGAATTAAAGGGAATGTCCCTGAGATTATCCCTTAAAACCACCACTAATTTCCCAAAGTCATAGCAGTCCATCTCCTGCAGCCAGGAAGCAAGCTCCAAAACTCAGACTTTTTTTCTGAATGCAAAGCCTTTTCAAATCATTCTTAAGTGCAAAGGCCTCGTTTTAATATTTTCACAGTAAGTTGATGTGTCTAAGAAGAATTTAAAAGTCTGTACATGAAGGCAGTGGTCTTTAATCATGTAAACGGATGGCTACTACTACTGCATTAGATGCAGGGTCATATCTGGGTGTATTCCTATTAAGAACTGTGCCAATTTGCCGAACGCATGGTGCACAAAACCAGAAAATACACCAGGACCAAATTCCTGTGCAAGGGTCTTTGGCTAGTTGAGTACACTGAATCTCACTATCTATCCATCCATTCATACTACTACTGGTATATTGATAACTGAAAAATGGAGATACATTACAGATTAGACAATTATTTCACAATGGCATTTCGCCAGGAGATACTGTACTTCGATAATTGCATGTCAGCTTTTAGTAAAGGGCTGACGGCTGACGTAGATGGGGACACCCGGTCTGCGCTCCTTGGCGGCGCCCTCTATCGTCTTAACGGGGTTCGGCGTCAGAAGGTCTTCCCGGGATGGCGCCGTGACAATAATGCTGGGGAGTGTCCGGGGACCCTGGCTTATTAGACAGGGAGCAGTACCGCTGGTCGAATCTTCACATACTGGTGTTGAGGCGACCACTAAGTAACACAAATGTGGCATGATGAGTATTTTCCACACAGGGTGAAAGATCTATATACAACACATATGTATGCGTAGACTCAACGCATTTTTCTTATATACTCTAGCAGAGACCGCGTGGTAATGTAGTACTTTAAAAGTACACCGTCTAGAAGTTTAATGTAAGTATATATCAGTCGGATTTTACTCTATTGTTAAAAGATTTAGTACGAACAGTACACCGACTGTACCTTCGTAATGGGATTAACCGTATACCGCATTATACCTTAATTACCAGGGAATTTACGTCGTGATTTTTGTTGTTCTAACCTATTACATGTCTTACATTCTTGCTGGATTTACAGCTATGGCTCCCGACTGTCCGACGTGTGTAACTAAGTTAGCAGACGAATACGGCGACCTATTAGGCCTATTTAACCGGTCTGCACGTCACCGTTAGCTCGTCCTGTTTAATACCCATGTTTTTTGATGCCATCTGTCTTCGAATATGCGAATAAAGCATAGCGCGCGAAGAAAACGTCCCAGCTCACGTGCAATTTTCTTACCCGCTTCGTGCGCGTGCTTGCTCGTGACAAACCCCATGAGAAACGGGCTCAGGTGACACGCGCAGGCAAAACCCTTAAGTCGCACAGCCTGCAGCCGGTCATTGACCTGGAGGAGTTAGTGTCTCCAGTACCTCTTCTCACAGTCTTCCGCTCACACGTTATTCAAATCGTGTATTCAAATCACCGAGTTTCACCGCTTCCTTCTTTTTAGTTGAAGTTCCTTGAAATCTTTCACATTTGCATTATGCATGTTTCCTCTACTAGGCTTTGTATATTCTACTTGCTCAAAAAAGTTTCACCTATTTATTTTTGGAAAAAAAAGTTCCTGTTTCCACTTCAACTACATTCGCCATGTTGACGGAATGAAGACCACCTCAAGAAACTATATAGCTTTTAGTTTGAGAAAAAGCTAATCAACCATTGGAATAATAATTTGAAGAAATTATTAAATACTTTGATATTAAATATTTGATATATAATACAAATGTTTTAAGGAGACATATTTTCAGTTGAGTGAACGAAATTGAAAATGAATACATTCCTGTATTTAAACTTAAATAATAATATTTTAATGTTTGAAATCACAAAGACACATCAACACTCCCAATGAACGATGAGACGCATGTGACGCATAGCAATGGTGTCAGCCGTTACCGGAAGTATACAGCATACGTCACTTCCCCTTACGCTCGAGACCGGAAGAAGGGAAATATACAGTTTATTTACCAGGAAATAAGAAAGGAAAAACTTGCTCTTTCACCAACACGACTTTCCTCTAATAGCACGAAGTACAATCCTTGATTTATATACAAAGATGGATGGTAAGCGTAGTCTGTACTGTTCCTGTGTTGTGCTGTTTGTTCTCTGTCCGTCGTCCATACTTTGTAAATGTAGCCTTGTAGATAAGAGTGAAACGGGGCAGATAAATCAGCATATTGAAACAAATTAGCAGAATGAAACATCATTGTGATCTCTTAAAATAAATTCGAGTGTTGGAGTTTAGGTGTGAAAGTAATATGACACTTTGGACTTGTCACGCTATGGCGGACTACAGCAAAGTAAACAAAACATTTTCCTTAATCGGTATTCGGTAGTACTACGAATTCTTCCCGTATAAGAAATGTTTTGCCTAGTGCTGAAGTACATGGTACATTGATGATGTTCCTTACAAGACGAGTCATTTTAATTAAAAGTGAGGACACTAATTTGAGAATCTTTACTGTTACTCTTTTTATCGGCCCATTCTCATTGACTGTTCTTCTTACCATAGACACGCTGTTTCAGCTGAAAGTAAGTAGTATTCTCTGTTTTTCCTGAGTATATTCCGTATGCGTTTTATGTTAATTTTCTTATTTGAAATAGGTACTCTTAATTGTCATTCTAGTCATAATCTTGCTTTGGTCTGCCATATTGCGTTTCTTTCAATACCCACGTGCATTGCGCCTGTGTCTGTGTCTTCTCCATTCATCTCTTTATCTCATTTCTTCTCTGTTGATAAAATAAGATTAACTGTATTGATCCCAGTGGGAAATTCTTGTGCATACAGTAGCAAGGTATGTAACATGCCCTTATTTCCACTTCTTAATTTCTTCTTTTCCATGCCTTTTTCTTCCCTCTCCTATGGTATTTTCACTCAGTTCTCAGCAAAACAGTTGGAGAAGCTGGCCAAGAAGGCAGAGAAAGACTCCAAGACAGAGCAGGCTAAAGTCAAGAAGGTGCGGGTTATTTGCCTTATTTTCTCAGGAGTAACCAGTCATGAGCAGATAATGCAGAACACTCCTGCCCATTTATCCTTAATGTAAGTGTGCTCCAATGTTCATTGTGTGGACTGTAATTGTCAAAGAAACAAGCCTTCTTATGTCCCAGGCAAACAACTGAGGGCCACACCTTTTCTGTCTCAGCATTGGAATATTGTAAGATGACGATGTTGGTTTAAAGGTGGGGTCTATGGGCGCAAGACATGTTACTCACCAGTAGGTGGTAGCAAATCATCAACTGCAGAGTCGCTTTCTGTTTTTTTTTTCGTCAGGAATTCTCAGAGCAGAATGAAAAGATTGTCTATATGCTGATGTTATTGTGTGTGGAATGTTTAAGTCATGCAGACAATAATAGTAGATATTATCTCTCCCCCTCCAGGCTCTACAACAGAAGAATGTGGAGTGTGCCAGGGTATACGCGGAGAATGCCATTCGCAAGAAGAACGAGGGCTTGAACTGGCTGCGCATGGCATCTCGTGTCGACGCTGTGGCCTCCAAGGTCCAGACTGCGGTCACCATGAAAGGGGTGTGTCTCTGCCTGTCTCATCTGTGGTGTCTCTCTCCCACGGCCCTGTGTCACTTGGCCAAGGGCGAGCTACATTAGGATAATGTGGATTTCAGTCAAGGGGAGATTCAGTAAAATCCTTTTATGTTATAATTATAAATACAATACAAATACAAATTATAATTTGTCACACATTCTAATCACCAAAAACCAAGCTACATGCTTGCACTTTGCCTGTTCTTAATTATTATTTATTATTTATTACTTTATCTGATAAGAACAGTTTATATCTTCCTTATGGAGCTAGGTAAACTATGTTTATCTATAGCTATTCATTGTAGTACTTTTATACATAAAAAGTCAAACAATGTCAGTTATAAGAAACCTAACTGTAAAATGCCAAGCCCTTTTGTAAAAGGATATTTTTATTTGAATGCCTAAAATTTTCTTAAGTTTCATTACAGTAAAGAAACTTATCAGATAGAATAAATGTATGCATTATGCATATCAATAGAGTTCAGAACCTGTAGAGGTTATGTTACAGACTTAAAAAGAATCAGATGATGTTTATAAACATGCTTTGTAATGCTACTTGGCATTTTTATTGACAGTAAACCAATATGGCATGTTATTTATGGGTTTACTGATGAAAAAAAACTTTAGTTCCAGTCTATGCAGGGTGACTTCACTACAGTCAGCCCTCAGTATCCGCAGGGAATTGGTTCCAGGACCCCCCACGAATACAAAAATCTGCGGATGCTCAAGTCCCTTATATAAAATGACGCCATATTTGCATATAACCTACACGCATCTTCCTATATAGTTTATCTCTAGATTGCTTGTAGTACCTAATACAATGTAAATGCGATGTAAATAATTCTTATGCTTACTGTTCAGGCAGTATTGACAAGAAAAACAGTGTTGTGCGCACAACATGAGTAGGGAACAAACAAGACGCTAGATGAACCGTGCTCAAACAACAAGTGCTGGACAGACACAGAGGACCGATGAAATCACTTCATTCCCGTGGATTCAGTGTAGTGCTCAGTGCGTGGCAAATTCTAGCTTATTGAATCTGGGGAGACGGAACATGTCAACTGTATGTACATTCTTATGGAACTTGTGTATGTCTCTTAGGTGACAAAGAACATGGCTCAGGTGACCAAGGCACTGGACAAAGCACTTGGCTCTATGGACCTGCAAAAGGTGTCTGCTGTGATGGACAAGTTTGAAACACAAGTGCAAAACCTGGATGTTCACACCTCTGTAAGTGAAAGAGTGATCATTGACATTATATTTGAGATGTTCAGTTCATTATGTGGATTCATTGTGTGCTTTTTGTTGTAATGGAGTTTCTCTGTTCCTCATGCTTCCCTCCACGTCTCTCTTCCGTATCCCCTACTGCAAAGACGAATGAAGGACTAACTGGCAGCTTTTCTTTCTGCGTCAGGTGATGGAGGACTCCATGAGCTCAGCTACCACCCTGACTACACCCCAGGAGCAGGTGGATGACCTCATCGTGCAGATAGCCGAAGAGAGCGGCCTGGAGGTGATGGATCAGCTGAATCAGTTACCCGCCGGGGCTGCCTCGCTGGGGGAGGGCTCCACACGCTCCCAGGAGAAGGAAGACCTGCTGTCCCGCAGGTAAACACGCCTGCACACCACTACACACACAAGCGGGAACCTGCGCTTAAACACTCTGCTACATTTATATATTCAGCTCACGTCATACAGTCACCTGGTCAGACACACACACAGAGCGCTACAAATAAAAGGTCATTACTCACTCCTCCTTGTACACACACAGACATCATAATGGAAAACACATTCATGTTTGCCTTGACTTTTTCAGGTTGGCTGCGTTGCGGAATTGAGCGTGTCACCTCGTGAGCAGGCTGACGAGCAGCGGAAGAGTGGCTCTAAAATGGACTATTCCCTTCAACCTGTTTGTGCTGCGAGTGCTCTTCAGTCGATCCCGTCCCTGGGTCTATTTATATACGTGTCAGTCTGAGTGCTGCTGAAATTACCACACACGATCTTGCCACTCCTCTCTCTCACTAAATTCTTGTTTTTCTCTCTCTCCTCCCCATCTGTTTGTTTTCTGCTCTCTCAATTTCATTTGCACTTCCTCCCCTCACATCCTCTCCTTCCTCTTATACCCCTCTTCCTCCATTGAAGAGATTTTTGGCAAGCAGTAAAATTATCCTGTTTCTGCAACCCATAGAGGGGGGAAAAAAATCCAAACACAGAGATGCTTAAAATAATCTACTCTCCTAATAATATGTATGATCTCAGAAATACTGCTCATGTGCTCCATCTGTATTTGAAAGCTGTATTTTATTTTTTTTATTCATATATTATGAAGTTAATGCAAAAGACACATATCAGCTGGCTGTCAGAGCAGGGTGTCGGTGGCAGGTGAACCTGGACAGGAATTCTGGGTGGAGGTCACTCACAAATGACCTTGTTCAGCTGAGATGCGTTCATCTTGACCGGGGCTGACACGCACACAAATTATCTGTGGTGAAGGAACACTAAGGCTTTGTGTTTGTCACTCCTCGTCCCCAACACCACACACATCACCCCATGTCAATGGGAATCCTCAACGTCAGACCAAGGTCATGCTGAGTAACAGCTAGTGTAAATGCTGTGTTCTTATGTTAATTGATGCTGTGTTCTTTTGGCTCTAGTTAAATTCTCTTGGTTCGCTCTTCATGCCTTTTTGATTTCTGCTTGTTGACTATTAATGCCTTACTGAGATTTCAGGTGCTTGACTAGGCACTTTACTTCAGTGCCTGAGTGAAGTAATTAATAAATAATCATAAAGGCCTATCATTAGGAACAGGCAGACTGTCTATCCTTGGTTATCACAGGAATGAATCTGAATAATTTACTTCTTTGGGAATTGCTTTACTGTGTGTGTGCTGGTTATTTATATCAATAGTCCCATTTAGGTTGGTGGGGGTTTTTGTATTATATGTTCATATTCAGATAATAAAACCCCCTTGTGAGAGAAACGGAACTGACTTGACATCAACTTGCAAGATCAGGGGTTCTTAACCTTGGTTGTTCCATGGGTGTCCTCGGCCATCTGGTGAAACTTGTGAACGTGTTCTCAGAATAATGTTTTTAAATGCATAACATTAAATGCGTAGGGTTAAAAATGGGACCGAAAGGAAATACAAAATATCAAAATATAAAAAAGTAGTAGTGATGAGCATAAATGATATACCCAGATATCTATCAACTGTAACATGATATGAAAACATCTTTGATTTTTATTGGTGGCAATATCATAGGTACTGCAAATACTACTATGTTTTTTTTGGCTAAATTCCTGAGGTTAATGAAAGCAATGATGTATATTTTTCCTCGTCCAAGTTCATAGACCCTCTGAAATCTATGCATGGACCCCCAAAGTTAAAAACCCCTGTTTTAGATCACACTAAGTGGGTTGGGTACTCATGCCAGAAGGTTGTGGGTTCGAGTCCCGTACGTGGCACAACTAATCACTAATGGGCTTTTGAGCTTTTAACTGCTTGTTGGTGGCTTTGCCCAAGAGGGTCTGCTGGGGAAAATCGTTGTCTAAATGAGAAAGGTTCTGTCACAAATATTCGCCGGAATGGTTTCTAAATAAATTTTGACAGACATTGTAATGGATGGATATGTGCATAATAAATGTGACAACTTGTTGTGCTTAACTTTCATCCTTAGATATACACTTTAAGGAGGATACCATGTAAGCACTAGGAACATGATCATTTTCTTTTTAAATAGCTGTACACCCATCATTTTGTGATTTGGACAGGGGTGCAGCAAGGAATTCTGGGCCCCTGGACAAAATGACACAATGGTCAACATTTCTGTTTCCCTGATCCTGGTTTCAGATGTGGTCTTTACCAATGAAGTGTATTCAAACAGCATGTAATAATCATTTCAATTACTTATTGGAAAAAAAGATTAAGTAACAATCAACTTTGTTGTGTTAAGAATTTTGTTGGTTCATCAAGATAGGCTTTTAAAAATAAAACCAAGGGAGATAACTGGTGTAGAACGGCTCCATCCCTGCTATATGGTTTTGCTCAAATGTTAAATGTGATTCGCAAGAGAATAATTAAATTAACCACTCTTAATGAAGACATTATGTATGATTTCGATTAATACTGGCCTTTTAAATGCCTGCTTATAATTTTCATATGCATTTCATACGAACATTTCTCTGGTGTGTACGTGTCCGTATGGCATATTTTACTGAACCTACACTTTACCATACAGTTATAGGGATTGTTGTTTTTAAAGAAACCGTTTGTGCCGTGCCATTAAATCGACTACCGTATACTGGACAGATTGCAGTCAGTGAAACCCATCCGAGGCGGCATACTGTTCATTTTTTTATTTTAATGAGACTTTTCTCTTTTCAAAAAACCCCTGCCAGTCGCGTTTTTCAGCATGCCGGTACATGCAAGGCAATGAATTTCTCCCGCAGCAACTAAGGAACCACATTCTTTGGAAGCACGGGTTACTTTTTTATTTGCTATTTTTCTGCTTCAAATCATTTGATCTCATTCTCTTTGAATTGGCTAACATACCGGAATTGATAGAGCTATGTGCTACAGAATTAGGAGAGAGGGACTCGGGGGAAATAAACGTGTTTCATTATAGGTGCTGTCCCTTTTCTTCGCATGTTATCAAATAAATAAGCATATTCATTTTTCACTTTCAGCCGCCCTGCGGTGTCTTCACAGCACTGGCTCATTTGTCTCCAAGCATTTGCCGGCTCTCTCGCAGAGATTAATTATTCATCAGTGACAGCGGAAAGTGGTTATTATTGAGGGGCATCATCACTGCGGCTCAGTGCCTCTGTTACCATACCAAGTCACTAATTATGGTAAAAGCTGGAATATTTAGATATACGATTTATATTTCTGGCTGAAATATAGCCTACAGATACGGGAGTGATTATATTAGTAAAACTGATAACCTGTATATTAGTTAGGAGCGACTTTCTTGTCATCCGCATTATTGACGAAGAGAATGAGTCACTATAATTAGACATGATTACTATCTGCGATTCGCCGTAATGCCGGATAACAGTTCTATGTTTGCAGTGGGTCGTACCACACTATGAAAGCGAGTAAAAGTTCAGCTGGAGGCACGCAAACAGCCCACACCCTGACACCGGGAGAGCCGCTCCAAGTCCGTCTGACCCAGTTTATTTTGCGTAACAACCAGGTGGTTCCAAAATTAAAATCAAATTTTAAATATGAATCCAAATCTATGCGACTGGACTAGAATCGTTAATCAGAACAAGTGTAACACTTGTTCTCTGAACCTGCGTGGCGATTTTAATCCCCGCTTGCGGCAGCAGTGGCTTTTCTGCTGGAAAATAATGGCGGGCGACAGAATTAATAATAGATTTTGTCGGCGGCACCCCCGGACTTGTTTTTCTTATATGTTTGCGCGTCTTTTCGCCATGTCATTCTCCCCGAGATGACGTCGTATGGTGCCCGGACTGGGGGGACGGGAAGGGGTTAATGCCCGGGGCCGCTCTGATTGGATTAAAAGGGAGCTCAGCAGCGAGTGAATGGGGGGGCAAGCCTGGGGTAGGGGGGGGACAAGCAGATACAACTAAAGGCGAAGCCGAGAGCATCAAACGGGCGCTAATAGATGGTAGGTGCGTGTCGTCTGCCCGGAAGAGAAAAAGAGGAACCAGGTCAAATCGATTTGAATGTGAAGCTCCCCCCACCCCCCCGCTTAGAAATTGAAACACCTATGTCGTATGGGGCGGGGTGACGTCTGAATTCCGGTGGAGAGAGGAGAAAGGTTTAGCTAAATGGATACCAGGCGGACTCCACCGGGCGCGGCCAATAACGTTGTGATTACACCGGGGGGGCTGTTTAGTCCGAGCTGCGTGCGCTGAAAGTGAGATCGAAACAGGCGGGTTCGGGCGCACATCGGCGGAGAGAAGCGTGTCTTTGCGGCGCCACTCCGTCCCATGCCCGTCACAAGCATGAGGACATTATTAGCATTCTGCTGTTTTCTCTTGGCAACCGGAGGCGTGGAGCGGCAGACCCCGGCGAGAGACAGGACCACGCCGGGCGCCGAGAACGGCGGCGACAACGTGACGACCGACGGCGGCAGCAGATACATCAAGATCGGCGACGGCACTTCGCAGGAATTCGAGTTTCCGGAAAACACCAAAGGCGTGATCGTGATTTCCTGCCGGTACCGCGGCGCACCGGGGACACCGGGCGGCCGGAGCGTGAAGCAGATGGTGACGGTTCGCTCTCTGGAGCCCGATGTTCTCTCCATACTGAACGTGAGTGACAGCGGCAGTGCGGGGCCGGTCCGGAGTTACGTTATCAGGATAAGGTCTGGGTTGGCGGGTACGGCTCCTCTGCGTATACAGCTTCTGGAAGTGGACCAGAGCTCCGAGCCGGTTTTAGTGGAGGAGCGCACAGACTACTCCATCAGAGTGTCGGCCGGCGGCGAGGACTCGGGGACTCCGCTCTCCCAGTCCGGTGGGCTGTCCCACTTCTCGGAGAACCCGGTCCTGTTTGCTCTCTTGCCGCTCATCTTTATCAACAAGTGTGCCTTTGGATGCAAGGTGGAGGTGGAGGTCCTCAGCTGCCTCATCCGACGGCCGGTGCCCTTGCTGTTGGGCATGGTGGGGCAGTTCCTGATCATGCCACTGTACGCCTATTCCCTGTCCAACCTGGCGTCACTCTCCAGCGCTCTCTCCCTGGGCCTTGTCATCACTTGCTCCGCACCGGGGGGTGGGGGGGGCTACCTGTACAGCCTCTTACTGGGAGGGGACGTCACTCTGGCCATCTCTATGACTCTGGTCTCCACGGTGGTCGCCGCGGCGATGATGCCCCTGTCCTCGGCCCTGTATGGCCGGCTGTTGGGAGTCCACGCCACGCTGCACGTGCCTTTCGTCAAGATCCTGGGCACGCTGCTCTTCATCGCTATCCCCATCTCGCTGGGCATGCTGGTGAAGCTGCGTCTGCCTGGCCTGACGCGGGCACTGCTGGCCCTCATCCGGCCCTTCAGTTTCATCCTCATCGTGGGCGGCATTTTCATGGCCTACCAGATGGGGGCGTCCATCCTGGCCAACGTGGGGCTGCCCATCGTGGTGGTGGGCGTGACGGTGCCGATTTTCGGCCTGCTGCTGGGCTACAGCGCCGCCACCGCCGCCCGTCTGCCAGCCCCCCACCGCAAGACGGTGAGCATCGAGGTGGGGGTACAGAACAGCCTGCTCGCGCTGGCAGTCATGCAGCTGTCATTCCGGCGGGCCGAGGCTGACTTCGCCTCGCAGGCGCCCTTCATCGTGGCCCTTAGCAGCACCTCGGAGATGTTGCTCCTCGTCCTGGGACATATAGCCTACCGCTGGCTCCGGCCCTCCGCCACCTCTGACGCTTGACTCCCTGATGCCTGATTGTCTGTGTTTGCCCTGCCTCGGGTCCGCGTGGGATCACGGACCGTGCCGGAGGCACACAAAAATGACACTGTGGACGATGCGTTGAAGGAAACTGGGGGAGGGGGAGAGGGGGGGCATTTTTTTGCCTCAAAACCAAAGGCCTTTCCCCTCTTTATCCAGTGTTCTTTATAATTATTATTATTTTTTTTTTTATATATTAAATGGATCTACTGTAATTCCACACCCGAAGAGATGCCTATCAAAAAAAGATATTTTTCTACAGGACTTTTTTTTTTTTTTCTAAATGAGAAGATTTGTATCATGTTTACAGAGGTTGTACTGTCTTTGCAACGGGTAAAGCCTTGTGTTTTGTGAGGACGTGTCTGTGTGTTCTTGATTGAAATGATTTAAGTATCATTGAGTTGCCCTGTACTTAATGATTAAAGCGGAGCATAATGGGAATAAAGGTGCTGGTGCTGAGCAAACAAAGTGCTTTTAATAAATATTTAAATGGTGATATAATCTGTCAGGAGACATACAAGGAAGCAGGAGAGCCAGTGAGTGACCGGTGTGGAATTCACCCTCATGCTACTTCTGGTTTTGAAGGTGTGTCTTTTAAGTACATTTGACTAAAGTGGTGTGTTCATTGCTGCAGTAGTCACGTACGATTGGGGAAAAACCAGTTTTTTCGGCTGGCTGAGGTGTTTGTCCTTTTGTTGGTGTAGGAAATTTAAATTATTCCAGTGAGGCTGGACAGGCAGAGCACAAAGCCATCTCAGTTCTCTGCTTTGGTCTGTTTCAACCCTTTAACAATGGGGGAGAACGTCTCGGGTCTGGTGCGCTTAGGTTTGCGGACACTGAGGGGCGGCGCTGAGACGAGCAGAGCAATGTGACACCCCTCCCCCCACGCCCATAAGGGATGCCAGCTATCCAGCCCATGTGCTTTGTTTTTCCCAGGATGCCTTGCAAAACCGCAAGTCCCTAGGCAGTACAAGCAAGCTAGTTAGCAAATTAATGCCACAATTTAGTGTTAATTCTTCATGCAACTGACAAGGCTATTTCCATGAGGAATTGACTCGTCTATTTTGGTCACAGTGTTTTGTTTTGACACCAGATGTGCCCCCCAACATGACCGCAAGGATGCCGTCGTTACGTTACCTGTAATTAATCTTTAACGGGGTAATATGGGTTAGAGGTGCCTGGTAAACAAAGTCTTGGGCTATTACTTACAGCCCAGTGATGGGTGGGTATTGCCCACAGGATCTGCAGTGCAGCCATGAGGAGGCCGGCCGGCTCGCTTCTGTAACTGGATTATAGCCCAAGCGGTACCATGTCCCATCTGGTCCATATGATAGAGCCACTTTTATCAGGGAAGAAAGGGGATTAGAGATTTTCCAACTTGAGATTCCAGGTTTGTGTAGGTACAGATGGATTAGAGAAGGCTCTGAGCGAGAGGGAGACAGAGATGTGGAAAGTTCTCTGAGACAGTGTAATATGGTGTCTGTGTGTCGTCTGCCTCGGCCCATGTATCCGTGTAATCGCAGGAATGAGTTCAGGCCATTTATTTTTAATAGAACTGATCGAGGTCAAATAGCCCAGGATCACTTCACAACTACATGCTGCTCTTGTAGCGGTAAATGAATATTTTTGCCCTTTTTCCTAATAGAAAAACTCTGTGTATTAATAGTTAAATGACCCTGGTAGCTGGTGTTTCTGTTGCCAGGCCAGGTGTGTTGGAGAGTGTGGGGAGAGTTTTTAGGAGGAACTTACCCCGTCTTCTAAATAGGTTCTCATAGCTCCACCTTCCCAGCAGAGCAGGGTTCTCCTGTTCCGTTCATTATTAGTGTTAGGCTGGCTGAAGACACAGGTATGTCATCTCAGCCTGGACTTCATGCCTGCGTTGTTCTCAGGCCGCGCACCGATCCAAAGCGGCTGTCGGCAGGGCCGATCGTCTGCCTCCCTAATGAGTGAGAGGGATCGATTTGCAGGCCTGATGCATGCATTCGTCATTAAGGATGATGTGCAGAGCGGTCTGTGTCTGAGCCAGGCTTGGGGATGAAGCGATATCGCAGCGGGAAATCCGAGAGCAATTTAGTCTCCTTTTATGATAATGCTGGAAAGCTTGTGAGTGTCCAATTCCATTCATATCAGCCACCGGAATTGATTATGACCTTTCAATGCTGAATCTCACTCCATGCAATCGGCCACCTTAGATTATACTGTCCAGCGTGTGCGAGCAACGAGAGTGTATCTATTGCTTTTCACAGTATTATACAGTAAGGTAGCTTCCCGGTCTCCTTTTACAGCAGATTACCTATTCTGCTGGTTCGTCACAGTTTCTCTACACTCAGGTTTGTCGACAGTGACAGCCCAATGTTTTTCTTGCGGCAGACAACAATTTCTCTTGCGTTCCTCCGTGGGATGTTCAATCAAAAAAAAATAAAAAATCTTCGCTGCAAAATTCAGATTTGCACTTTGGCATTTTAGATAATGTTTCCAGCAATTAACAAGGGAAGGAGCGCATCGGCTCCCGTGGGCAGGCGAGCCTGTGCACCAGTCAATTCAGTTTAATGGTAATTAGGGAAATCTCCTGGAGAAAGAAAATGTCTCTATATAATTATATAGCATCTACCTCAGCGAACATGCAGTACATTTCCACATGGGAACTGCACACTGTGGATTTGGCTGGTGATTTTAATCTGACTGCAGGGGACCTTTACCCTTCCCAGTGTGTATTATTATTATTCTAATGTGTATTATTATCATTTTTATTGCAGTTATTGCGCAGTGATGGGGTCTCTCTTTCTGCATGCACTTGCCCCTCTCTTGTACAGCAACCCCATTTTACTAACATGTCTGCATTTGCTCCTTTAGCCTTCCGTTACTGCCTAATAAATCACAAAGGCTGAGACAGTAATGGAGGCCGAGGTCTTGCCTCACCCACGCAGCAGTCCTCCCGGGCAAGCGGGGCCGGCTGGCCGTGGGGGTTAACTCATCCAGGGAAAGGCAGCGTTTCCGGGATCCTCCCTGGCCTCGCCGACCCTGCCCAGGGGCCACTGGCACGATAAGGAGAATCATTAAAAAATTTACAAGAATCAAAGTTTTAATGAGGTTTGTCTGGCTTTCCCTCGCTCCCCCTGCATGGCCAGGCAGCAGGCCATCCTCAGCAGTCTCCCGTTTTCTCTTCACCCGGCACCCGGTCCTTGACCCTCCTTTCATCTAATTGCAGCTTAATGATTCACATGAACTTTTCTGTGACACTCTGACCCAGTATAACTGTCTCACATTTCAAATTCACAACTGCGCAGTGTCTCTGACACACATGCACATATTATAGGAAATATTGTGGGGCCGGAGCATGCTGGGAAAATGTAAATAGCCCCTTGTTCATATTTTTCTTAATACTTGTTTTGTTCCCAGTTGTCGTATGTGTGCTTTTGCCTGTCATGCGTGAATCCTGTATGATCTTCACGTGTCTTTTAGCCATTATATAACTTACCTACCGTGTGTGTGCCTTACAGTCCGCCTGCTCTCCCTGTGTTTGGCTGTTGTGTGTGGTTCGGTGGTTGCTTAATCCCTGTGCTCATCCTTTTAAGGGTTTAATAAAACAATATTATTTCCCCTTAAAGTGAGCCTCTTTGTTTCTTGCTACCACCATGATGTTTTTGGTCTACCAGACATTACCCTGGTGTCAGAAGTGGGATGCTAGAAGTGGCTGCATTAGAACTATTGGAGCGGGTCCTTCTGAACATTGGTCTTGCAGCCTGACAGACCTGCAGGTGGTTATGGAATGGCCGATTTGTGTTGAGGCCGACCGAGACCGCGGCCGCTGAGATGGGAGACTCATCTGTTGGTGCTCTGGGGATAGGGGCCATGAGGGCACGGTTCTGCCCCAATGCCAAAGTCACCAGGAGACAAGCAGGGGGTGACGCGGTGAGGGATGTGCAACCCCATCCTTCTGAGAACCCCCAGACCAATGCAGTGTGCTCTCAAGCCACACCTTCAAGTCCACTGGACCCCCGTCCTGTCACAGCGCCCCAGACCTGTACAGTGTCCCCTCAAGCCACCCGTACCAGGCCACTGGACCCCCGTTCGAGACGTCGGCGATGAGGGAGAGCAAGAGCTCCCCGGGACCTTGACTGGTCACAGACCAGCAAGGGATCTCAGCACACCAGTGGTAAGGAACCACCACACAATGTGAATAGCCCCTTGTTTGTACTATTGTGAATGCTTCTTTTGTTCTCGATTGTTGTGTGTGCCCTTGCCTGTGTCATGCGTGAACACTATCCAATCCTCGCGTGTACCCATTGTATAAATCACCCACTGTGTGTAGAGCTTACTGTCTGGTGTCTCACATCCCTGTGTTTCATTGCAATGTGTGATTTGATGTCTGCCCTAGTCCTTTCAAGGGCTTAATAAAAGGTCTAATCTGCTGGATTTAGGCACCCACCACTGTTTGTGTCTGTTTCTCTACCCTGTGCCTCGTTATAAGTTTTATTGCTCGCGTTTTTGTACTCCTTGGACAGGACCAAACACGGAGCGACTGGAATGCAGACGCGGCATATAACGCTTGGCGCAAAAAGAGCAGTCAACTCCCATATCGATTTCCGTAAACAAGTGGCGATCACGTACAGTCATCACCATCGTAATTATGTTTCACATTGTTTTAATGGACCTGCTGGTGGTGTTTACCTTAAGCAGATTGATTACTCACTGCAACACCTTACTGACACTTCTATCTGCTGGGGGAAGCACAGTATTAGATGCCCATCGACGTGTTTGACATCGCCCTGTCAGGGAGCTAATTGCGTTGTTCAGATGCTGCCAATAAGCGCAAAGGTTGCCGTCAGACGTTTCGATTGGGGTGGTGTTCCTATTCCAAAATAGTACGTATTTTATAATTAGGGTTTTTTTCTGATACCTAGATCCATCCCGTCAGCACTGTTGCTTTTTTCTCGGTGGCATATTATAGGAAAACGCAAGTATAGCCTCAGACCCACATTTTTTCAGATAAAAGTGTGCCTGGTTTGAAAATAAGCATCCATATATATAGAAGCCTATTTATGTACATGGATATTTATAATACCGAGAGTGTATAGGTTGAGCATTAATTTAAATTATGCTAAACTACGAAGTAGCGCGGAGTGAACCTGGAGCATATGCAGTAAACATTTCTTGTTTTGCAGTTCATCTGAACAGCATTCATGCTGCTTAAACGAAATAAGACGGTTACGTAAGTTTTCCAGCGGCGTGGAGCGCCATCCTTCCCGGACCTGCATCCGCCTGATCTGTACCTAAAAACGGAACTGTCTGACTCATTGTCACACACGTCTCCCTCATTCTGTTGTCAAAATTTCCTATCCTTCTTCCAGTCGCTGTTCCCGGACATGGTCGCGGAAGCCGGTGGCCTGGAGCCCATCCCAGGCAGCATAGGGCACACAACAGGGGCTCGCACTTTTATACACAGTGGGCTATTTAGAGATACCAAATAGCCTAACTGCATGCATTGATTGTGAAAGTGTGATTTATAAGACGCGGGGTCAAAACCTCTGCTTTCTTATGATGGTTAAATCTAGGCAAAAGCTAAATCGAAGATGTTTCCCAGCGCTCGACACAAGAACTTATTCTAATACGGAGCTGCTCGTTTTAATACACTCAGCTGTAAAACCAAAAATGACTTTCAAGCTTATTAATATTTTTAATATTGTCATTTAATTTAAAATGAAATATTGTGGCATTTAAATATAATGTTGCCATAACTATTTTGAACTACTTTTACACATTACGGCACAAATATTTCAGATGATGAAAATGAAGAAGTATTTGTATTTTGGCGAAAAACAAGACAAGTTGTCATGTTTTCTTCACTCCCAATACAAACGTGTTCGGAGCAGATAATCCAATTGGTCAGCGTGAAAGAGAGCGTCGGCCAATCAGGATACAGAGCGCGAATGCACTCGGAAGTGGAAAAGCGCTGCATGAATTGCCTTAGGACCTGTAGATAATGTAGTGACTAATTTCGATACAGATGACAACTTGGTTGTCTTGATATTTCTTAGTAGTGTGTGTTTCTGCACAGTAACCTATTTATGGCTAAAGGATTTCATTTTGTAGTTAAAGTCTAATGATCCGCTTATTTATGGGTGTGTTTTGAAAAATGTGGTGATTCTTGTCGAACTTATCCGACTTAACCAAAGCGTTATAATGTCTTTGGAGGCGTCTGGCATCTCTGTGTCCGGGCACAGGCGGTCTTTCTCGGATCTTCTTGGTGAGTACGCATGTCCATTATGAGTTCTTTTCTTTAGTTGTTTTTACCGTCTAATCCGCGAAATTCCACTTTATGTTTAACTAAATTCTTCTTCCTTTTTGTGGTTCACGATTTGGGTTCGTATTCCCACACATCTCTTTAATACACAAGCTGACGCAGGAGAGGATTTGTGTTTATAAAATTGGTCCTTGAGTTATGGCACATAAGCTTGGCTGACGTTGAAGTTTTTAATTTGATTAATGAAGTTACTGTGAGTTGTAGATTCATTGGCCTGCTCTGTAGTACGCCGTTCACACCGTGTACTTTTGACCTGCTTCTGATCTTCAGCGGCCCATAAGGCGAAGAGACCCAGACATCAAAGCGAAGCCGAACTGCGCGAAACGGCGGTCCAGCTGCTCGACCGGCACCAGAACCTGTCCGCTTTGCTTCTGGAGGTAGGGGGGCGAGTGGGCTGGAGCTGCAGGTGGAGGGGAGGAAGGCCTCCAAATGGCTCACGTCGTAACTCTGAACCCAGTTAAGGGAAAACCTGAGTTTATTCAGTGAGACTTGTTGTCCACTTTAGGGGAGCACCAGTGTGTCCGAGGCTCAGACGGACCTTTGTGAGGAGAATCCTGCACCGAGAGCTCCTCCCTTTTCTGGGGCCGGACCTCCATCTGACCTTGAAGACTCTCTTATAGGTTAATACTGGCACTTATGTTCTTCAGCACCTGTACATGGGACTGCTTGGGGAAGAAAATGTTGTGTGCGTGCATGCGTGTGTGCACCTGGATTAGGTCTATATTATATAGAAATGAATGGAGAGTCCCCACAAAGATACAGTTGCAAACCTGTATATGTGTGTGTGCTCGCACATGCGTTCCCAGTGCATGCTCTGCAGAGGCAAGCCGTGGAGCTGGGAGTCCCAGTGGGCGTGGTCTCCTCCAAGATGGCAACAGAGAGAGTGGTAGATCTGATGGGACGTACAGCAGGTTGTGCCAGGGGGGCGCTGTTGAGCTCCATTCGGAGGGTATGTCAGTCCCTCACCTAAACTTCTCAAGCAGAAATATCCACCTAGATAAAGGTTGAAATGGCGAGCTGTGTGTGGTGTCTCTCCTGACTGTGACTCCAGCTAAGTGGTCGTGGTTCCTTGTCCATCCAGGCTGAGCTCTCGGCGCTGGTGCGCTCCATTCAGGGGCTGCTCTCCCAAAGGGCCTTCAGCCCCCATATCTTCTGCCGCGAGCTCTGGAAGTGTCAGGTGAGTTCCTCCTACTGGTGATAGGGTTTTAGCGCTTTGCAGCTCTCAGAGCTGCATGTGCACGTATGAATGTGGTACATTTTCTGTGCGTGTGTGTTGGTGTCTCGTGTTGGAAGCAGCCCACGCTGGAGGTGGCCTGGCTTCTCCACTCGGGAAACGTCGTCACCCTGGAGCACATCCTGGAAAGGTAAGTCTCGCACAAAGCCCTTTTACGGCACAGTGGCCTGGATGTAGATGGAAGGTGACATTCACAGGCGACTAATTGACCAGGCCTGGAGTGTGGGCGAGGCAGTGACGTGCGTCTCTGATTGGGCCCCCAGTGAGGAGGGAGGCGTGGCATGGCTCGGAGCGGAGCTGAAGGCTCTGTGTGGAGTGGAGGAGGATAAGGAAGCGCAGCAGCAAGTCCTCGCAGGTAGGGGGCAGCATACAATGCCATTGCTCTCTGACCCTTCCCCGCCAAGTTTAGTCTCACGTTTATTTTAAGCAGCCACCTTCATTCAGGGGATTTGGTGTAACTCCCATTCACGGTGCTCAGTGAGCAGGGAAATTATGTTAATTTTAAAAAGGAAAGGAGAACAAAAAACATCTATTCTTGGAGAGGTTCCCGAGGGGGTGGGGGCTAGCTTAGGGCACGAGGCAAGGGTACTCCCTGCACAGGAAGTCAGGCCGTTGCAGTACACACACACACGCACACACACACACACACACTATATCCTACTTGCTTGGATACCTCAGCACCAGCTTCATGTCTGTGCTGGTACTGGCTTGGGTTACTGGTTTGTCTTTAATTATTATTCCTTCTAAAGATGTGAGAAGTTTTAAAGCCTTCCACCTCCCCACAACTGCACCAATTAATTAATTGTTATATATGTTATCTTTAAAAATTGCACCCCCCCACCCCAAGATGCCAACCTGTGCAAATGTGGCACAGGGTTGGCACAGGGGTGTTTGTTTCCATGGTGACCCCACTGCTGACTTCATGCCTCACGTTCCGCCTCTGTCCCCCCTCCTCCCATGTCGCAGGCGTGGTGTCAGTTCTGCTGCAGGCCGGATTCCGGGACCCCCCAGGTGACGCCTCCCAGCTCTGCGTGGCGGTGCTGGACGACATGCTGTCATGTGGGTACCCCTCACCCCCCCTCCCATCGTGGGTGCTGCCCCGCCCTCTCCCAGCACGCTAAGACCATGTGCTCCACAGGGGTGCTGGACGGCTTGCAGCAGGGGGGAGATCTGCACTCTGGGACAGAAGCGGCTGGATCCTGGTAATGTGGGGCGACTCCCCGGGGGGGTGGGGGACCATCAGGCGTGAGCGCCTGATCTCCGGCAGAGGGCCGGAGGGTGATGATGCACCACTTCCTCTCGTCCTTCCTGCAGGGTTTGGGTGCTGGACCTGACGCTGGGTCGGGCGTCCCCCTCGGACGCTGTGCTGCGGCGTTTCTTCACGCGCTGCCTCACTCAGGTCCTCACCTGCCAGCCGCAGTTCAAAGGTCAGCTGTCTGGTGACATCATCATGCGTCTTATGGATTTCTGGGTGTCTGCGGTGGCAGTGACCATGTCCCAACACGGTGCCCTCTTTACATTTAGATTTGTGTTTATAGCCAGGATCCTAATGACCCACTTGGGATGAAGGGTTTGCTATTGCGTCCTTGGGTACGACACTCAATCTCTCCCTGGGGTTTTTAATCTGAACCCTTTTGGTCATCACTGTTTGCTGTTTGAAGCAATTACATCTACCCACACAGTATGTTTACGCTGTTTGTGTGAAGCCCATTCTCCAGCTTACCCAGACTCCCTCCACACTTCCTTAGTGTCGGATGCCATAGCCAACCAGAGTGAGTGGACCTTCGCTAAGACCCCCCGCCCTCTCACAGCTTTGTACCGTAAGGTGTGTGTGTGGGGGGGTTGTTCCTTCCTTGTGCTGGGTGATGGACCTCCGTCAGTGACGTCGCCGACCTGCTTGCTCCCGTCCCTTTTTCAGCTCGCGGTGCCCTTCAGCGTGGATGAGCTGCTTTGTCACCTGCGGAATGTTCTAGAAACCCATGAGGTTAACTGGCAGCATGTGCTGTCCTTTGTGTCCACCCTGTTGGTGTATGACGCGCAGGCTCTACGTACCCTCACAGGTACACACACACACACACGCACACACACACACACACACACACACACACAGAAAGCATGTGACCCAAACCATCTCTCTCCTCCAGAGCTCCTCTCCCAACTCCTGAACGTGGCCTTTGAAAGCTACGACCTGGAAAACATGATCACCGCTTTCCTGCTGTCTCGCCAGGGGGCGCTGGAGGGTCCCACCGTCTTCCCCTCCTACGGCGAGTGGTTCAAGGTGCGCCACCCTCCCGCTTCCGGTAAAATCCACCCGCCCTGGCCGTGTCACTGCCAGCTGTCTCGCTCTTTCAGGCATCCTTCGGGAGTGCCGGCGGTTGCTACGGCAACAGTAAAAAGTCTGTAGTGTTCCTGATGAAGTTTCTGTCGGACCTCGTGCCCTTCGACCCGCCGCAGTACCTGAAGGTGACCTCACCCTCTCTGCCTTCTTCCCCTTCCTCCTCAGGACACCCCAGTACCCCCATTCCTATCTCTTACCCTCCTCACACATTTGTGGTCTTGACTCTCTCTTTATCTTTTTTGGGTCACGACCCCCTCAGGTACACATTCTTCACCCCCCCTACGTTCCGGTGAAGCACCGCACTCTCTTGCAGGAGTATGTGTCTCTCGCTAAGACCCGGCTGGCTGACCTGAAGGTGCCCCCCCCAACCCGCAAACGTCCTACCTACAGATCAGATTCTAGATGCAGGCATTTATTGTCCTATGCTCAGTAAAGGGTCATTCACACCACGCAGTGAAAACCACACCCTGCATGCCCTTCCGGCCGCAGATAAACTCAAAATAAACACAGAATTATGTACAATTAAACAATTAGTCAAGAAGACAATACATATGAAATAGAATTATGAATATACAGCTCTGGAAAAAAATTGATACGCAGATTTTTTTTAATAATATTGAGTTTTAAAAGCCTGGTTTAATTCTAATTCTGCAGGCCGAAGGCCTCACTGCAAGGCAGGCTGCTTCCAGGCTCAAAATTTCTAAGACGGCAGTTACTCAACAACAAGGTGAAGCAGGAGACAGCGGGAACAACCAGAATCCGGCCAGATAGAGGGCAGAAGCGACTTATGCCAAAGACGACCGTCAACTTATCCGACATTGCCTCATAAATCAGAGTGTGACCTCAAGTGACCTTCAAAAGGAATGGGAAACATTAAGTGGTGTGAAGTGCAGTGCTAGGACAGTTTGTTCCAGGCTCCTGGAAGCAGAACTGAAGTCCCACAAAGCAAGGAACCCGAACCCTAACCCTTCATTAATGAGAAGCCAGCCTGGAGTTAGCAGAAATGTGTCTTACACTGGCACATCCCATAAACTGAGAAATGAGCAAAACTGAAATTTTTGCTGTGGTCCCTTAATTCTTTCCAGAGCTGTAAATATGTAAACTCAGCGCAAACATATAACGCAAGTTTTATGAGTATGATAAAGGACTGGATCAGTACAAGGTAGATAAGATGGTTTTATGTAAACAGAATCAAAAGCGGCATATGCCTGGCATGGCTGCTGCACTCTCAGCTGACCGCCTCTGCCTCTCCCAGGTCTCCGTGGATGAGATGGGGTTGTATGAGGACTCGTCTGGGGCTGACGTTCCAATGCAGGTGAGCCGCCCCCCCGAAAGCCCGATTCAGCTCATGCTCAGGTGCCTCACGGAGTCAAAGATCCACGAGGCTTCCAGAAGACCCACATGGTCCTGACAGTAGCCGAGTGACATGGCACGGCAGGTGTGGGTCTCTAAGAGGGCGGGGGGAGCTCGGTTACATGCCGCCCCCGCCCCCCGCCAGGGCAGTGCGTGAGTGTGGCGCGTGACCCCACCCCCGTCTGTGTGTCCCCACAGCCCGGCTGCCAGGCTCCCCAGGACGTGGAGAAGGCCATCCGGCTGTTTGAGAGCACCGGCAAGATCTCGGCCGCCGTCATGGAGGCCAGGTGCTTTGGGCCGATCCCAGGAACCCCCCCCGCACCCCCCATCCCGGCTGAGGGATTCCGTTAGCGGTGCATCTGTACCTGGTGGTCAGCACTTTGTCATGCCAGCTGGAGAGGGACCAGAGGCACTGTGGGGGAGGGGGGCTTTCTGATCGCTGCCCGGGGGGGGATCCCTTCAGAGGGGGGAGGGGGTCACTGGTTGCGGGGGGGAGGGGGGGGGGCTCTTCAGTCAGGTGCTTCCTGAGCTGCATATTAAGCTCCTACATAGTAACGGGATTTACCAAGTGATATTACCCGAGCCATTGGTACACTTACATAATACACCAGGTGCTTTTGTCCAAAGCGATGCACAAGTGAGGATCAGGGAGCTGAGCCAACCAGTACCTGGGGCCTTTGGGGCCGAGGGCCATGCCCAGGGGCCCAGCGGTGACATCACTCTGCTGACCCTGGGATTTGAACCTGCAACCGTCTGGTGACAGTCACAATGTCCTAACCTGCGCCATCTATAATCTGAGCTATAGGTGTACCTGAACTTGTGAGGTAGTGGTTAGGTATCCTGTAGGTTTTCGGTTTGAAACTCAGGCCGGCCACTGTACCCTTGAATGTAAAGGAGCCTAAGTTGTATTTGTAGGTAGAAAAAATCCCTTATCAATAAATGCGTCATCTAGGCAAAGAAAATGAGAGTTCTATGCCCTGTTTCTACCTATAATGGGTCCCCCAGGCTATTTCGGGATGCCCTCCCCCTTGGTGCTTCCTGTGAGCTGACACCTCCCCCCCCCCTTCCATCTGCAGCATCTTCAGGAGGCAGTACTTCCTGACCCGCTTCCTGCCAGCCCTGCTGATGCCGCGTGCGGTAAGCCGTGCCGATCTGCCCCTATGGGGCGTGTGGCGCGGGGCAGCTGGGTGTCATTGATGCAGGATGTTACAGACTCTCCTCCTTCCCATTCCCTCAGCTTCCTGATAGCTCTGACTCCCAGATGTCCTTCATCGAGTCCCTGAGGAGGTGTGCTGAGAACCTGCCTCTCAACCTCGCGCGCACACACACACACACACACACACACACACACACACACACACACAATAACTACATCACCGTATTGTTTATTTTAAGCAGTTGCTTTAAATGGATGGATGGAGGAATGAGGCCTGTTTTTCATATTGGTGATGAACAGCTATCATGTTGCAGGGCGGAGAAGATCCCAGCATCACTGTACAGTGCCTACACCCAGTCCTGCGAGAGGGAGAGGCTAAGGCGGGAACACGGTATGTGTGTGTGTGTGTGTATATGTGTGTGTATGTGTGTGTATGTGTGTGTGTGTGTATGCGAGACCCACACTCGAACCCTTGTCCCTGCAGGTGGAGGTGCAGGCCTGGAGGTGCTGAAGGATCTGGAGCCCCAGGAGAGACTGCAGGCAGAACTCCAGGAGCTGGGGATCCTGCTGTCAGCACCTGGGACGGAGGAGGGTGAGGAGAGTGGAGGAGCCAGGGCGCCACCTGGAGGCTGGGTGGTGAAAGCACTTCTCACCAGCTTACGGACCCATGAGCGGTCAACCGCACACTTTCCACCTGCTTTCAAAATTAATTTTGGGCAAAACGGCTGCATTGTTACAGTGTTAACGAGCGTCAGTGTGACAGCCAGTGGACTCCTAACCCAGTGATGGTCTCTCCTTCCCCTCCTCCCAGAAGTGTTGGCTCAGCTCGCCCGGATTTCCGAATCCTTGGCGCTCCTGATTCCCGAACGGCCTGACGAGACAGCGGTCCAGGTGACGCTGTGCCTCCATCCGGACTCCCCGGCTTCCCCGGACCCGGAGCACCAGGTGGGCCACGCCCGTCACACCCCCGACGGTTTCCTCTGCCCCGTTCCGTCTTTCGCCGCCTCTTCGTCTCTGGCCTCGTCTCTCTCTCACCTCCTTTGTCTCTCCTGCTTCCCGCTGTCAGCGGATCGCTGACGTGATGCTGAGGGGCTTCTGCCAAAGTTTGATGGACGCCTCAAGGCTGCGGCCCCCAGACAGGTGAGGGGAACATCATGCAGGCAAAACGAGCTTCACTCCACGTGCTCCTTTTTAATATCTCATTCCCAAACCGAAGCAGATTAATGCATAGGCTACCCACGGGCCCCAGGAAAAAATCAGGGGCCCCGCCTGACAAAATTGGCTCCACCCTATCTTGGGAAAAATTTTATGGTTAAACTTATTAAATCTGGCAGATTTTACTACCAGAACCTTCCAGGGTAGGCCGATTTTATTGCATGAATCCCCTGTTCCTCTTTCAGCTTCGCATGGGGGGCCCTTACCTGTCAGCCTAGGGCCCCCAGAGAAGTTAATCTGCCCCTGGTTCCCAAACTAAAAAAAAACAGTCATAAGAAAGTTCTTGTTGTTTAATGTCGATGTCGTTCTTGAACATCAGCTGCCACCACCGAGTCCCCGTCCCACTCGGGTCACGCCTTTCCTAACCCCCCCCCCGACCCAGGCAGGGCCCGTGGGCCAGCCGTTTTGTCCAGATGTTACTGGGACACAGGAAGCTGGCGGCGAGTCTCCTGCAGCGCCTTTGGGGCCTGATCTGCGAGCAGGTGATTCCCGCCGCGATCGCTGTCCGCTCTGTGACCCTCCGCAGGGGCTCGTTCCACCGTCCTGTGGTGGGTGATGTGAAGTTAGTTGCTCTCACAGGTCTAGGATTGAGGGTTTAAGAATATCTATGTAAGATCGTTCATAAGGTGGTTTTTACCTTCAGCTGTTATTTACAGCGAGTCACCCAGGGGCAGCGGGGTTGGGGCGACCAGACCAGCTTCCCCATTGCGCCAGAACGGCTTAGGTCATGTGAACATGCATTTGTTCACTGTGCAGTACCCACTGTGTAGTACCCACTGTGCAGTACCCACTGTGCAGTACCCACTGCGCAATACTATATATTGCTGAGCCATTAGAACGGAATTCCGTGCAATACTTTCCTTGACATTTTTTGCACTCTTACTGTTTACTGTGTGTAAATGCATGTATTGTAAACCTGCAGTTTCCTTCAGAACAGTATCCATCCATCCATCCTCAGTATGCCTGGACTCTCAGGCAGACTATGTGCACATACCTTTTGGGGGCCTGCTGTCCGTCCCCCCCGCCCTCTAAGGACCCTGTATCCCCCCACCCTTCGCTTAATGAGAGCCTGCTGTCGCACCCCCCCCCTGCCCACCCTCTGAGGGCGCCGTGACCCCCCCCACCCTCCGCCCTCCATCCCCAGGCTCTGAGCTACTTTTATGGCCAATGGGCAGCTGAAGCGATTGTTTTAAGGAATAGCGGCGGCTCTTCAATCAGCTGGCATGTCAGCGCGATCTGACGGAATACAGAAGGTTAAATTCCTTGGTCTCTTTGAGTTACTTTGTCGCAGGCGGGTCCCAGGGGAGTGTGGCTGTCATCACCGCCTTGTGGCTGTCACAGTCTACTACAGTTTATAGTTTTCTGATTTTTTTACCAATAAATATCACTTGCAAGGGTTACCAGCTACACAGAAATAAGGCTAAAGATGCACTCACCAGTAAAACAGTGGCCCCAAGACCATGAGCATTAATCATTGTGACTAACATTTTGTATATATTTTTTTCGAGATAAAAAAAAAAAAAAAAAAAAAAAAAAGCTGAAGGAGAATTTACGTGTGGGCTTCTCTTCCGCCTGTAGGGGGCGACGCTGGGAGCCGCACACGTTCTGGGTCTCGCCGCGTTCCTCGTGCACCTACACGAGTCCAGAGCCCGCTGTCCCTTGGCTGTACCTGGGCCCGGCTGGCCCCCCTACCCTGTGCCTTTCTCCGAAGCCCTGGGCGCCTCCCTGCCTTGCAGCACTGCCCCGGAAATGGCCTTCGCCCTCAGGTGGGGATGGGGGGGGGGGGGTCTACACGGTTACCCACTGTTCACGTTAACTGAGAGCGAAGCCGTGCTCCCGTACGCTGCCCCCTGTGTAGGCGAGTGATGCTGGGTTTGCGGTCGAAGCCCATAGATCCCATACGACACCAGATCACAGCCTGTGTAATCCTGCACACAGCTGCTGACCGCGACCGGCCCCTGATGGACGTCTGACCGCTAACCCCCTCCTCCCCGACAGGTTCTGCGCGGCGTCCGTGTGCTACGCCCTGTGTCGCTTCGCCCTGCCGGCCGAGAACCTGCAGGAGGGCTTCCCCGCCAGCTTGTGGAAGAAGGTGTGAGACTCTGGAGTGCCGGGGGGTGGGGTGGGGTGGGG